AAGAAAAGAACTATGGTTTGAGAGAGGGGAAAAGGGGCTGCTAGGGTTTGAAACACAGGAGAAAAGAGATTCTTTTCTTGTTTAAATATGTGTATATATGACAGCAAACCCGAAAAACTATACCCCAAAACCCGAAACCCGAAACTGGAAAACCCAGTTTGACTAGAAACATACTCTTTGATATTTTGGCTGTAACTTTCGCATACGATCTCAGAATGAGGTGATTAAAGATTTGTTGGAAAGATGCTGAAGATATCTACAACTTTGGTCTTTATGTTTTTCCATATTAACAACGTATCAGTGTGTAAAATATAAAATCTCTCCACTGGTCATAAATTTCTAAATTTATACATCGAGCATGATTTGTGCATTTGCTCTTATATATATACATATATACATTGAATTGATCTCAAATCAATTCCTAGAATACTCAAACATCATAATATGTTATTTATAAATATATAACATATTTATTATTATTTATCATAAAATATTCAAATTTTTGGGGTTTTACAACCTTGGAGTCACTTCTAATGTGATTGGAGTGAGGAGGTCACCAATCCTTAACCCTGACGAGTCAGAGGAGGATCAACCTCATGGCTTGAAAGAGGCTTTGAACAGATCTGATGGAATTTTTCGACGTACTCGGATGCGGAAAGGGGTCATACTCGCTGTTAACTACCGAAGACTAGATAGAGGGATGAAGTCTAAAGACAAACATTCAGGTATCGCGGAGTCTTAATCCTCTAGCTCCTCCGCAGAACAAGAGAGTTCCGCTTATATGGCTGGAGGCCCCGAAGATCTCACAAAGAGACTTGATGAGCAGCAAGCTATGCTCAGATCACAACAACAGACCATCAATGAACTTCGAAACATGATGGCCAAGTTGGTTGCAGACAAAACTAAATCCCAAAGGAAAAACTCCCCACCCAGGCATAAAACTTTCCAAAAGGAAATGTCATCTTCATCAAAGGGGAAGAAAAAGGTGATTGATAATACTACTTCCGACCAAGAAACCCACAACACAGGTTCTTCCTCTGAAGAAAAGGAGGAAACTAAAAATGAACAAAACCCTCAATCTACAAAGATGGAGGAATTAAAAGCCCGCCTCAGTGACATTACAAATAGAAGCGAACTTCAAGAGGAGGAGGTTGTTAGGCCCTATCCTATCGAATGGGATGCTGCCCCATATCCTTCAAAGTTCAAGGTCCCGACCCTACAAGCTTTTGATGGCACGAGATCCCCTAATCATCATATCTATTACATCAAGTCATAGACTGGGAATGTGATAGCAAATGATGCGGTGTTGACTCATTTGTTCATTGGCACCCTCAAGGGGATTATCTTTGAATGGTTCATGAAACTGCCTACGGGATCTATCCAGAAGTGAGCAGACCTAGAGAGATTATTTCTGGCCAGATTCTTCGAAGATGACTCATAAGTTTCGGTCCCTTCTCTTCTTGCCACTAAGCAAAGGAGAGGAGAACCCATAAAAGTCTTTGTTGAAAGATTTCGAAGCATGGCTCTCCGATGCCCAACCGGTATGACGCAAGCAACTCTAGTGGAAACATGTCGACACAACTTACAGACCAGTCTTTTAGCCCAGATGGGGGTCATAAAATGCCATTCATGGAAGCAACAAGTCTCTCAAGGTGAACAAGCTGAGGAAATCGTCGCCAGGGTTAAAGCTGAAGAGGAAGGCCGTGTCTACTAACATGATATCGGTCCAATTTGGAGATTTCCCACCTGTTGTAGTTCCAGATGGTGTTGATCCTATCCCTAAAGAGGAGTTACACATGAGAAACATTAACCCGCATGGTCAAAAGGACAAAAGATTAGTACCCCTTACTATCCCAAAAGATGAGATAATGTGGGTCCATCCTGATCTGCTTGATGACCGACAGTGGACTGGAGTATCAGGGAAGAAGAAGAGAAACAAGGCTAAAGCTACTAATATGATTAGCCCCTCCCTGAATGAGGATGATACACATCTGGCCCCACTCACTGACTCGGAGGACGAGAAAATTGCCCTAGCGGCCGAGCAAGGAGCAAACCCTAGAGCAGGCACCAGGTCAGAAAAAACATACTTGAAGAGGTATGATCAAACTACTGAAGAAGCAGAAAAGCTAGCTGAGGAGGTTGGGGGTTCCATTAACAAGAAGCCAACCGATAAAGGGAAGCTGAAAGAAGTTTGTTATAACAAGAACCTCCTCCAACCAGAGGCATGAGGGTTAAACGCTCCCTTTCGCTTCAATATCATGGAACAACTGGCTAAAATCCCTGCCAGGATCACTCTTTATGAGCTTTTAAGGCTGTCCAAGTCCATGAGAAGGGCTATGATTGAAACTTTAATGGATATAGAGAGATTTATTGCTCAAGTTCCTGTCATCGCAGAAGCTACCAAAGGATCTTCTTGCACACAATGCTAACAACCTACAAGGAGTCTACCTTGCATATCGTTCACCCAGGAAGATAGGCAAATCAAACACAAGCATGACCGACCCTTATACTACACAGGGTATATCGGGTCTTCGAAGATCAACTGTGTCTAAGTCGACCCGGGATCCATCCTCAGTATTATGCCATACAGAGTTATGCAGTTCTTGAGTATTCCTCTGCATCGGCTGAACTCAACACAGACTTCTATCTTCAACGCTAACAGAACATGACCCATGGGAAAGATCAAACTCAATTGCCAAATCAGGGATCTTAGATCAGAAGTGACCTGCTACATCATAGATGCAGACACGTCCTACAATCTATTATTGGGATGACCTTGGATTCATGCAAATCGTATTGTCCCGTCTACCCTCCATAAAGTGATGAAGTATGTCGATGACAAGGGAGAAGTCATAACCTTGATAGCCCAGGGACAACCATTCAAGGGTGAGGAAAACTACCACATTGATTCAGTTTTTTACCTGGACTCCCAAGAACTAGAGCATCCAAAAGAAGATTCTGATAGCGACAATGAAGCAGACGACAAACCCGAGCCTGGACCTGAGGAAGAATGTCTATGGGAAGTAGATTTGAATGTAATGAGCCAGAATGAGCTCAACAACAATGATGTATCTAGTGAGTACAAGTGGTACATTAATGAAAATTTTAACTTGGCTTACTTGCCTGATGTATCCTCTGATGCAGGCACAGGAACAGATCCATAGCATGCATTGTATACCGAAGCATCACTTAGCCTCCCGCTCAAATCATCTTTCACTACATTCTACGAGATGGAATACGCCAAGAGAGCCTTCTTCATAATCCTAACCAAGAAGAGTGGCCAAAAGCCAATCTATTTTAGGAAAGTCAATCCTGGGCCACTTGATCAGGGAAGTTCAGAGGAAGACCTCGGAATCCCATAATTTTATCATTGTGGGCCTAAGTCCCTCAGTATAATAAAGAAGATGAGTTATAACTTTAATAACCCGAAAGTTTAAACTTCGAGGAAGGAAGATGAGCACCAATTCAGATTTTCACTCTAGTGGGGAAACCCCCTGATTATTATCATAAAACTGGGAGAGGATTATGCTACGTTTCAATACCGCCCTCTTAAGAAAATGAATGTCCATGTCAGGACCACTCATTCGGAACATCATCATGGGACTCAGACATTAGCTTTGGTGCAGTCTTCAAGGGCTTGTCTGTGAATTAACCTCATCTAGTCATCCAGACGATGACGAAGAGGATGATGAAGAGTTGATTAAATTGATTGGCGATCCATGGATCAAACGCCTTAACATTCTATGGGATATACGTTTCGAACAACACGAACCACCCACAGAAGATAAGGTGATCCAGATAAACATGGGAGATGAAACTGATCCCAAGCCCATTTTTATAAGTGAAAGCTTAACACCATCCGAGAAAGAGGACCTTATATCTCTCATCCAAGAATATATAGATGTCTTCACTTGGAACTATGAATACATGCCTGGTCTTGACCCAAAAGTAGCCGTGCATCATCTCAACTTTGATCCGGATGTGAAACCTGTTAAACAACAACAACATCGGTTCCGTCCAAAGATCATGGAAGCAATTAAATCAGAAGTTAAAAAGCTTATCGATTCAGGCTCAGGCTTCATCAGAGAGGAACATCATGCTGACTGGGTCGCTAACAATGTCCCTGTAACTAAGAAAAATGGGAAAGTCAATATTTGCATTGACTTCCATGACTTAAATGCCGCATGTCCGAAGGATGAGTTCCCCCTTCCCATCACGGACGTCATAATTGACAATACTTGTGGGTATGAGAGGATGTCTTTCATGGATGGATTCTCAGGGTATAATCAGATCAAAATGCACCCTAAAGATGAAAAGCACACAACTTTCAAAACACTACTGGGGGTGTACTGTTATACAGTAATGCCGTTTGGACTGAAGAATGCTGGTGCAACCTACCAGCGTGCTATGAGCACGATGTTCCATGAACATCTTTGAAAGAAGGTAGAGTGCTACGTAGATGATATCGTAGTGAAGAACCAGAAGAAAGGCGACCATCTCTTAGACTTGGAGATGATGTTTGACATCATGCGAGTACATCAACTGAAGATGAACCCTACCAAATCTTTCCTAGGGGTATCCAATGTAAATTCCTTGGATTCATAGTCACCTCTAAAGGTATTTCCCTCGATCCAGAAAAGGTTCTGGCTATCCAAGAAATGCAGTCTCCAAAGAATATTAATGAACTCAGAGGCCTGCAGAGCAGATTGGCTTATATCCAAAGATTCATATCAAACCTCTCAGGACACTGCCAGCCCTTCACCAAGTTAATGAAGAAAGGGGTCTCTTTTGTTTGGGATGGATATTGCCAAAAGGCATTTGAGGAAATCACGCAATATCTCTCTCAGCCGCCCATTTTAGTAGCCCCGGTGATAGGAAAACCATTCTTGTTATATGTGAGGGCCATCGAACATTCTCTGGGAGCTTTATTAGCTTAGAACAATGATGAGGGCCATGAGCAGGCTATTTACTACCTCAGTAGGAATATGATTGGAGTTGAACACCGGTACAATCCAATGGAAAAAGAATGTTTTGCCTTGGTTTTCGCCATTCAAGAAATGCGGCATTATTTAGTGGGACAGACTATTCACGTTATCTCCAAAGTGAACCCTTTGAGAGTTCTTATGACAAAGCCTTCTTCCCTAAATTGTCATCTTGTAAAGTGGGCGATACTTCTGTCGCAGTATTCAATACATTTCATGCCTCAGAAGGCTGTTAAAGGCCAAGCCTTGACAGACTTATTAGCTGACCATCCGGTGCCTGATTCTTCCAGATTATATGAAGACTTACCAGACGAAGTTGTAGAGGCTTACGTAACTCAAGGAGTCATGCAAGTGTGGAAGTTATTCTTCGACAGTGAATCTAGAGCAAGTCCTGATGGAGGAATCATAGCCAGTGTGGGGGTTGTGCTCGTATCCGCAACTAGTCAGGTGATCCCAAGAGGATTTTCCTTATTCAAGCCATACACTATCAATGTAACGGAGTATAATGCTTTGCTACTAGGAATGCAGCAGGCCGAGGAGCTCAACATCCAATACCTTGAAGCCTACTGTGATTCTCAACTCATCGTAAATGAAGTTCAAGGAGAATATGAAGTGTATAATGAGGATTTGGTCCTATACCACTTTGCAGCACTAAAGTTAGCTTAAAAATTTGAGGGCTTCTTTATCGGACACATTCCACGAGCCCGTAACGCCTATGAAGATGCCTTATATTCGTTAGCAACTTCACTAGCATTACCTCCAAAGGCAAAAACAAAGATACTCGTGGCAAACTATGATTTGTATCACCCCAAGTTCCCTCTAAGAAATTGCTCAGAAGAGGGCACAAGTCTAGACCTAAGAGATTGGTGATTCCCATTCATTGACTATGTGTTACACGATATATTACCCGATGATTCTAAAGAAGCGGCCACCGTCAAACGGAAGGCCCTTTGATTCTATTATGATGTGGTTTCTCAAACTTTGTATCGAAAATCACATGATAGAATTTTGCTTCACTGCCTTTCCAAGAAAGAGGCATAAGAAGCTCTCAGAGAAGCTTACGACGAAATGTGCGGAGCTCATCAACCCAGAGCTAAACTAGGGGATAGACTCCGCAGGCTCGGCTATTATTGGCCTTAAATGATCGTTGATGCCATCAATTATGCTAAAAGTGTCATGTGTGCCAGGTCCACAGCGATTTCATTCATCAAGCACAAGGGAATCTGCATCCAACATCTCCGTCTTGGCCATTCAAGATATGGGGAATGGATATTGTTGGAACCATTTTTCCTCTAATATCCAAAGGGCATCGGTTTATCTGGCAATAACCGATTACTTCTCTAAATGGAAAGAAGTAGTTCCTTTGAAAGAAGTCAAGGCTTCGGACGTGATGAAATTCATCAAACACCATGTCGTCTACCGTTTTGGCGTACCAAGGTGAATAGTTCATGACAATGGAGCCCAATTTGTCAGCTATAGCTTTCAGAGATTTTGCAATAAGTTTAGAATCTAAAGCGTTGCGTCAACAACATATTATTCGCCAGCTAATAGCCTTGTGGAAGCTTTTAACAAGACAATCGTAAAGCTTCTCAAGAAGTTCGTATCCAAAAGCCAACGCGACTGGGACGAACGACTCGGCGAATGTCTATGGGCCTACCGCACCACGGTGAGGACCCAGACAAAAGCTACTACCTTCTCTTTGGTGTATGGCTGTGAGGTTGTACTACAATTAGAAATTTAGATCTCATCCCTGAGAGTTTCCATTGCGACCGAGATGAAAGATGAGAATCGTTATCAACTACGCCTTCAAGAACTGGAAGCGTTGGATGATAAGCGACTTCATGCTCAACAACAGATCGAGTTATATCAAGCTCGAATCTCCAAAGCCTACAACAAAAAGGTCAAAGAAAGGATCTTTAAGAAAGACGATCTCATCTTAGTAAGCAGACGACCCATGGTCATGACGTACAAAACGAAAAGGAAGTTCAATCCCAAATGGGAAGGACCATTCGTGGTAGAGTCAGTCTACTCGAATGGCGCCTACCGTCTCATCAATCAAAAAGGTGATAGCCTCATGATGCAAATCAACAAGAAATTTTTTAAGAAATATTACCCATAGAGAATCATGGGACCCCCTTTCCTCCCCCCAGCTGAGTCTAAAAAGAGAAACTAAACTCACTTAGACTGGGGGTTGGTTGCTTGGAATCCACTTGATTAAGAGTAATAAATCTTTCACATCGTTAAGTTAACATTACACTTCTGATGCTCATCATCTCCATAGAGCATAACTTTATTTTGTTTCATTTTTAATATGACAATCTTCTCTAATGACAAAATTCCTGTGACGTTAATACTACACCTCTGACAATAAAATTATTAATTCTCTCCAATTGGATGATAGGTCCATAAAGTTGTTCAAATCACAACAAAATTCCTGTCATGTTAACACTACACCTCTGACAGATAACTTATCAATTCTCTCCAATAGGATGATAGGTCCATAAAGTTATTCAAATCACAATAAAATTCCTGTCATGTTAACACTACACCTCTGACAGTCAACATATCAATCCTCTCCAATAGGATGATAGGTCCACAAAGTTGTTCAAATCACAACAAAATTCCTGTCATGTTAACGCTACACCTCTGACAGTTAACTTATCAATCCTCTCCAATAGGATGATAGGTCCACAAAGTTGTTCAAATCATAACAAAATTCCTATCATGTTAACACTATACCTCTGACAGACAACTTATCAATCCTCTCCAATAGGATGATAGGTACACAAAGTTGTTCAAATCATAGCGAAATTCCTATCATGTTAACACTACACCTCTGACAATCAACTCATCAATCATCTCCAATAGGATGATAGGTCAACAATGTTATTCAAATCACAAAATGTTCCTGTCATATTAACACTACACCTCTGACATACAACTTATCAATCCTCTCCATTAGGATGATAGGTCCACAAAGTTATTTAAATCACAACAAAATTCCTATCATGTTAACACTATACCTCTGACAATCAACTTATCAATCCTCTCTAATAGGATGATAGGTCCATAAAGTTGTTCAAATCATAACAAAATTCCTATCATGTTAATACTATACCTCTGACAGACAACTTCTCAATCCTCTCCAATAGGATGATAGGTCCACAAAGTTTTTTAAATCACAACAAAATTCCTGTCATGTTAACGCTACATCTCTGACAATCAACTTATTAATTATCTCCAATAGAATGATAGGTCCACAAAGTTGTTCAAATCACAACAAAACTCCTGTCATGTTAATATTACACCTCTGACAATCAACTTATTAATCATTTTCAATAGGGTGATAGGTCCTCAATATTGCTTAAATCCCAATCTCCCCCAGCGAGACGCTAAGTTTTTAAAATCTTGCTCAAATCATAAGTACAAACCCATCAAGTTAATATCACACCTCTGACAACCAAATCAGTTTATCGACTCTCTTCAAAAGAACGATAGACCTATAAAATACTGTTAGGTTACCATCACACCTCTAACAGTCAAACCCCAATGAACTTGTTAGGTCCATAGCAAGTCTTCATTATAGAATCCCCAACGGATCTGAGATTTTCTGGAGTTATCCTAGTGATAATGAAGAAATTTTTTGAATTTCACTCTAAGTGAAAATTCATGCGAAGTTAATACTATACCTCTGGCACTTTTAATTTTCTTTTAGTGTTCCAAATGAAAACATAACACAGGAAGAAGCAGTGGAAAACTCTATGTATTTGGTATCATAGCACTAAGTCTAAGAGAGTTCATTATTTTAACACAACGTTATATGTGGAACGGACTTAGACAATCCACATGCTAGCCCGACTCAAACGGTAGTCGGTAAAAGCTTATCAAATCCGTTGATAGCTGAGGGTTTACCAAAAATCCTATTGTATGCAGAATCATGAAAATCATTTTAGGATCTAAAGTATTCCGAAAACTCGTTCCAGTGAACCGCGAACTTTCAAGAACTTTGGAGGGGGTTCTGTAGGCTGTCTAAAAATTAGTGTAGATAGTCGATCACCACAAAACAATAGATGATGAAAGATACAATCTGACATCCTTCACATCAACAAGCGGAAGTTATAATCTGACGACCTTCGCAACAGTCGATGAAAGTTATAATGTGAATACTTTCACAACAACATGCGAGAGTTACAAATTGACGACTCTCACATTCCACAGGGGACAAGTGTAAAGATTACAAGATGACAATCTACACAAAAGTCAAAGAAAAGAGATTACAATTGACGATCTCTACAAACCCAAACGTGGAAACCCTCTTCCGTGTCCCAGAAGCTCAAACGCAGATGTCACCCTACACTTCCAAGGAAAAATGCAGAGGTCATCCCGTATTGCCAAACTCAAACGCAGAGGTCACGTCATGTTGCCAAGCTCAAACTCAGAGGTCGCCCTGCACTTCCAGATCTCAAACGCAGAGGTCGTCCTGCGTTGCCAAGCTCAAACGCAGATGTCGCCATGCGTTCCAGATCCCAAACACAAGGGTCGCCTCGTGTTGCCAAGCTTAAACGCAGAGGTCGCCAGACGCAGAGTTCACCAGACGCAGAGTTCACCCGCATTTTCTCTCCAGAACGCGACCCTTGCGTTTTTTACTCAAGAACGGTTTTCAGAACTGTCCCATTAAGTTATGGGCACAGTTAAGGGCCAGTTAAGGGGTACCTTACCTCTTGATTGCCCTATATATAGGGCTGGATCTCCAGCAAATAAAAACCCCCTAGAAAATAGAGGCAAAAAGGAGGCTAAAAAAAAAGGAGAAAAAGGGGGCCAAAAATAAGAAGAAAAGAGAGGGAAAAAAGAGAAGAAGAGGGGCTTCTTGGACAGGCTTCTTGGACAGGCTTCTTGGACCATTCTTGGAGCTCTTGGCTTTCTCTTTAAAGCCATTTGGGTTAGTTCTCTTGGAGGTTCATCTATTCTCTAAAATCAACCCCTCTTGGGGATTCAAACTCTGCTAGAGTTATCAACTCTCTTACAGAGAGTTTCTAACTTGTTCAAACAAGATTCATTCAAACTCGCCTAGAGTTCTCAACTCTCTTACAGAGAGTTTCCAACTTGTTCAAACAAGTTTACCCAAACTCGTGTGGAGTTCCGAATTTGTCTTGCAAGTTCTAACACTCTTACAGAGAGTTCTCAAAACTCGGCTGGAGTTATAAACTTGCCTCGTAAGTTCTCTCAAAGCATCAAGTCAAGGAGAGAAGACCAACAGCCCACGAAGTTGAAGTATTCGGACTGTTAACGAGATACAAGATTCAAACTCCCATCGCCACGAAGAAAGAACTAAGTTTTAAACAAAGGAAGGATTTCATCCTTCCCACTTTTGTAAATCGGGGAACCGATAAAGAGAATTATAGTTTCTTTTTCTAAGTCAGTTAGAAAGATGTTATATTGAGAGGATTGTAGTCATTCTTTTTCTAAGTCAGTTAGAGAGAATAATACAGATTTAATTCTCGAGTTTCTCACAATTTCCCATGCGTACACTGACACTGAATTTTTGCTGGGACAGAAAGGCATTTCCATTGAGCTTGAGGGTGTCTACTACCATACCCAGACTAAAAAGGGGGTTGCCGTACCGCTTGATTACTGGCAATTAGCATCCATTTCTGATGACGATGATG